ATGTCCGGACCTGCATTGTCACTTGGTGACAAAACAAAATTCATCTTACAATCTTCCTTCCAGCCAAGTTCCAGTTCGGTTGAGGCAAAACGAAGGGAAGCCCTCATCCGTTGGGGGGGGGGGGGCGTGCAGCGTGCAGGCGCGGCGGCATCCGCATGTCCGGCAGGCGGCGGCAAAAAAGGTTAGGCGGGATGGGAGTGCGAGCGGCAACAAGGGCGCGGCGACGTGAAGAGAGGCTAGCTAGCTAGGCTGCACGCTCTAATGTTACGCGTGCCGCAAGCGGCGCGGGCAGCAAGGGTCCACACACACAGTGCGCGGTGGGGATGGGCGCTGGCAGACGGCGGCTCTGGCGCGGCGCGGCGCGGCGCGGCGGGAAGGGCGGGGCATGGCACAGTTGGAAACCGGGGCGGGGTCGGGGAGCACGCAAGCGGCGGCTGGACGGGCGCTGGTGCCAGGAGGCGACGCGCAGCGGGAAGGGTGCGCGGAGGGGTGCGCGGAGGCAGGCGGGGCATGGCACAGTTGGAAACTTGCTTTTTGGCCCGGCGGACTGCGTTGGACTGCAGCAAAGAGTGGGGCGTCAGAGAGTGGGGCGTCAGAGAGTGGTGTGGACTCTCTGGCGTCAGAGAGTGGGGCGTTTTGGGATAGACGAGTCGTATGGAATGAATGGGTTGATATATGGGGGGATGATATATGGTGGAGAAGGTGTCAGTCACGCCGGCGTACAAAGAGGTCAGGGGATGATCTGCTTCATACATGTGTCCTGTTGTACGGTGGGAGCGGGGCTTGTCCCGGGGCAGGGCACGCGCAGCAGCCGCAGGGATGAGTCCAATGAGTCGTGCGGACGAGAAGGGACGCAAATGGCGGCCGTGATTGACACACTGCGTGGAAGATGCGGAGGGGTGTGGCATGTTGCCAGTCATGCCACAGGAAGGCAGGCCACTATGATACCCTTCGAGAGGGAACTATTTCCCTAGTTGCCCTTCGAAGGGTAGGGTAGTGGAGGGACAGACTGGACCTCAACAGAGCGACGAGTAAACTAGTCAACTACCCCCCTTCGTCCGTGTCTCCCACGTAAGCCAGTCCACCTTGCCTCAACAAGGCGGCTAGCACCGATCTGCCAGCATAGAATGCGATCGAGTCAGAAACCTCTGTCTCTCCCCCACGGGGACGTGGCGGAGAAGACAGAGGCGCCCACTGGTGCGAGACAAGCTTGAATGACGCGTGCCACCACATCCCGTAGACGACTGCCATTGGGTGTCACCCTTTCATCTGTGCATCTGTACGCCACTGTACGCCACTGTACCCTATTGTACTCTTACAAACATTTTGCTGCCTCGCAATCTTTTCTTTTTGATTGTCTACGCCATACCTTCGAAGGTACAATGCATCTGCGCTCTCTACGCTCTCTACATGTCTGGTCATTCGCGAAAAACTACCCTTCAAGGGTATCGCAAACCCCTACACTTATCCCCGAAATGGCCCAACTAAAAAACGGAAAACACACTGTCGCCTTCTCGAGACCCACAGCCATGGAGCTGAGCAAGCGGCACGGTATACTCGTGCCCATTTCCACTTCCGCCAAAAAATCCAAACTGAAACGCGAACCGAGATGCTCACTGTTCCCGGCCGATTCTTTACAATCGTCTTGTATTGTTGGCACACGCCCAAAAACAATCTCACTCACAATCACTTGACATGACGTCGCCCAGAATCATACCACCATAGAGTGAGAACCCCTCAGATGGCAAAACATCAACCTACTGTATTTCATCACCCTTCGAAATTGTCTCCATGACAAACCCCCCAACAAAACCACTGTAGGCTAAGACTTTTTCCCTCTTGTTCCTCTCCGCCCCTTATCACAGCTCTGTGCATGACGTTTGGAATTGGGTGCGAATACTTCGCTATTACAATGGATACATCTCGTGTAGCCCTTACGCCCCACACGCGCGCCCTGCGCGAGCTGCCTCGCATTCGGCGCCACTGTAGCGTCTGACAACAACACCGTGTTCGACATCACAAACCCAGGGATCTTGGCCGACTTGGGCCGCAATGGCTTGGGCTTGGCGAAAAACTCAGACTCGATGCGGTGCCCGTTGATCGAGTGCAAGATGGGCGCGTTGGGGTCGGAAACGTCTTGATTTCGGTGCTTTGATATTACCGGACATTTTTCAATGTGAACTTTGCCTGTAAAAATAACATAAAATGGTTAGACAAATGCTTAAAAAGGGTAAACGGTACGGAGGATTAGGTTTAAGAACGTACCGTTGGGTCCCCAGACCTTTGAGCGACATAACTTGCATTTCAGATACCCCTTGTCAGAAGAGGCTTCCATGAGACTAAGAATGAACGCCTTTTTCCGGACAATGAATTGGTGGTGATGGGAGTCGTCATCGTTGTGGTCCTCATCATGAGAAGAAGAAGAAAGGGTACGCGGGAGTTGTGGTAAGGATAACATTGAGGAGGAGGAGTCAGAACGCGGGGAGAGGCTTGAGGAAGTCGTCGACACCGAGGAGATAGTAGAGGTGCCGGAGCGAAAGGCGTGCGAAGGGGAGCGTGAAGACATTGCCAAAGGTGATAGAGGAGGCGGTAGTGTGGAGGGGAGTGATGAGGTGGGGAGTGATGAGGTAGGGAGGGGAGTCAGAGAAGAGAAAGGGGGCGGGGGGGGGGGGGGGGGGGGGGGGGAAATTTTTTCCCCAAATTTTTTTGAGAGGGGGGGGGGGGGGGGGGGCAAAATTTAAAAAAAGGGAGGGCGGGG